GGGGGGGACCTCCAACTTGTTTCCCTCTGGGTCCCAGAACTTCATCCAAAACTCGCTCTCGTGACCTCAGACCGGCATGGGGTCCGCAACTATGTTGTCATTGCCATCTACGAAGATATCGTTGTCCTCCTCGGGGGTGGGGCCCGGGATCTTCGTGATATGGTGGGCGCCGCAGCCGCCGCGCGCTAGGGAGTCCTCGAGCCACGACTGGAAGGCAGCATCCTGCTGCCGCAGAGCCTCTTTCTCATAGAACTGAACTGTCACTTCTAGCTGGAAGAGAGCGTCTTCAAATTGGTCCTCCTGAAGGTTCCCAAGGAGGTACTTCTTGATCAGGTCCTGGAAGTCCTGAAGGGTCCCAGGGGGGCCACGGGGGGCCCTGGTTGACGATGTCGCTGATGTACCCCTGGAGCCTCTGGAAGCCTTCTGAGCGGGGCTTGATCTTGTGGAGCTGGTCTCTCTCCTTTGCCCTTTGCTGGAGAACTCCCCATTGGTGACTGGCAGGGTGTAGACGCTGCTGAAAGGGGGTGGGAAGGCAGATGTCTTTCCACTCGCACTGGAAGCCTTCAGCTCGCCCAAAGCTCGGTGGGCAGCTCGGCGGGCCCCCAAGACACCACCCCTCCAAGGCCTGACTAAGACGAGCGTACAGGTGGGCCAGGTCGGGGGGTGGGTGGGGGGTGGGCGGTGGCAAAAGGGTGAGAAACATCTGGCCGACCTTGCCAGTCCAACTGAGCCTGTGCCCAGTAATGATGCCATGGTGCCGCGGGTGCCGACGGCGGTTGGAGCGAGGCCGCTCGCTTTTGAAACCAACCCTGCCTGACCATGATCTCTGTCTGGAGGGTCGCCCGCAAGCCGATGTGCGGCTTCCAGGGGCTGGTGAGGTCGGCCTCTACCCTGAAATATTCTCCAAAGAAACTGCTGATGATGAAGAAGTCGATGAGCCTACCTCCCGAACAAGTACTGTGGACCTCTGGGGCCTTGATGGTGCCCTCGACCCTGGAGACCCAGGGGTTCCCGTTGGTGGGCTCCTCAGGGGTCAGGTTGAAGTCCCCTCCGATGACGAAGGGGAGCTTGAGCTGCTTGAGGAATATGGTGATCTCTCGGACCACCTTGTTGTTGAAAGCATTGTAGCCTACCCCCGACTGTAAGTAGACTGAGATGAGAACTAGATTGCGCTGATTCAAACGGACTATACAGGCTGTCCAATTAGTCCCTCCCGCTAATGGTTTGGCCTGCCCCTTCTCTTCCCGTTCATGATGCGCGCATGCGAGTGAAACTGCTTTGGCGCGAATAACCCAACACCGCCTGAGCTGCCTGCGGGGGTGTGAGCTGCTGGACACTGATAGCACGCGTAGCCAAGCTTCCCCATGAACTTCCTGGTTTCTCCCAAACGCCCTGAAACCAGATGCGTCTCCCCTAGCATGATGATTCCTGGTTGTCCAAAACTCGAAGCTTGAAAATAATCCTTGGCTTTCTTGTTCCAATTAGTGATATTGACATGGTAGATGGTGAAACTGTCATGAGCCCCTGGGGGGGGGGGGGGGGGGGGTGTTGCCGTGGCCGACCGCCACGCTCACCTGGATCCCCCCCCCCCCCCCCCCCCCTGGCCCCTGCTGCAGGGCGCGGGCAACTGCGGCTGCGGGGCTTCTGCTCATGAGCCCTGCCGCCCCTGCCACATCACGTCCACGGGCTGGGTCATCCCCAGCTGCAGCCGCGGCACCTTCAGCACGACGGGGTGGTGCTGCGGGCTGTTGGGCTGCTGCCTTGGGCTTGGCCTTCTTGGTCTTGGTCTTCGGAAGCAGGCCCTGGACCTTCTCGAGGTCCTCAAATAACTGCTTGGCGTTGTTGCCTTCCTCCCCCGCCATGCTCTGGGTGAACTTGAGGAGCTCATCTGGCACTTTGGGAAGCTGAACGGCAGGTCCTTCACCGATGTCTTCCTCCATGGGGGCGCCTCCGCCCCAGCCACGGGTAGCCTCGACGCTGGCGGCCTCGAAGTTGGAGCGTGCCTTCGCGAGCTCCTCGGCCGTGGTGTTGAGCTCCTCCTGCGCGGCTGTGACCTTGGCCTCCAGGTCGGTGACGGTCTCCTTGAGGGTCTCCTGCTTCTTCTCAAGGCGGCGTACCTCATGCAAGGCTGTGGTGGCTGCAGCAGCTGGTGGTTTCTTCGGCGACTGGATCAGGCCCTGCATCTTTTTGCAAGCCTCGGTGCCCAGGTCGTCCCTCTGCTCGGGTGTGAGCTTCGCGAGGAGAAGTGAAAGGATCTCTTTCATCTCAGATGGCTTCTCCTGCTGCTCCTTGTCCTTGCCGCTGGGGCCTGAGGTGCCGTTGTTGTCCTGGCCCTTGCCCAGTGGTAGGTCGAACGGCTGCCCACAGAGGCAGAACATCTTCTTCCGCGCCTCGTTCAGATATTGCCATTCTCCACAACTTGACCAGACGCAGTACTGACGTCGACGTTGCTGCTGCTGGTGGTAATACTGCTGGTATGCCCACCACGAGTTGCCACCCATGGCTGCTGAAACTGTCGGCGGTGTCTTGCCCGACGGGAAACTGAGAGCCACTGCTGGCAAGATGCACTCGAGCCCGTGCTTGAGCCAAGATGGCTACGGACTCCTCCTCCTCCTCTTCCTCCCCCTCCTCCTTCTCCTCCTCCTCCTCGGCCGCGGGCGCATCCTGGGCGGCGCCGAGACGCACGGCCGCCTCCCAGACGAAGACCGCCTGTCGCGGGCGGGCGGAGAGGGCGATGGCTGGCACAGTCGGACCTAGGCTTAGGTCAGGAGGATGTTGGAAGAAATCCCCAAATCAGCCTGGCGAAAGGACCAACCATATTCAACTGTGGGTGCCGTAGTTGCGAGTATTGCCGTCGTTGGGGGTCTTATATAGGACCACGGAGCGCGTGGATGGTGTGCCAAACTGTAGCAGGACCTCCATGGGGCGCTGCCACTGTGGCCTTAGGTGGAGCTCCCTATGGGGCCACGACACGTGTGAGGGGTTCGCGGGAATGGAAGGTGGAACCGCATGCGGGCGCTGCCACGGGAGGCTTCGGTGGAGCCCCCTATGGGGCCATGAAGCGTGCAATGGGTGCACTGAAATGCATGTGGGACCGCATGCTGGCGCTGCCGCTGGGGCCATCGGTGAGGCTCTATGTGGGGCCACGAACGTGCGACGGATTCGCCGACATGGAAGGTGGGACCGCATGCTGGCGCTGTCGCTGAGGCCATCGGTGGAGCTCCTTATGGGGCCACGAAGCTTGCGATAGATTCGCCACGAAGCGTGCGATGGATTCGCCGAAATTGAGGGGGGAACTACGTGCGGGCGCTTTCACTTTGGCCTTCGGTGGAGCTCCCTATGGGGCCACGAAACGTATGAGGGGCACACCGAAATTCAGGGTGGAACTGCATGCGGGCGATGACACTGGGGCCTTCGGTGGAGCTCCCCATGGGGCCACGACACGTGTGAGGGGTGTGCCGACAATGGGGGTGGAAATGCATGCGGGCGCTGCCACTGGGGCCTTCGGTGGGGCTCCCTATAACGATGGGATCACGGAACGTGTGAGGGGTGTGCGATGACACTTGGGCCTTCGGTGGAGCTCCCTATGGGGCCACGAAGCGTGTGAGGGGTGCACCGAAGTGGGGGTGGAACTGCATGCGGGCGCTGTCACTGGGGCCTTCGCTGGAACTCCCTATAGGATCAGAAAACGTGTGAGGAGTGTGCCGAAATGGTGGGTGGAACTGCATGCGGGCGCTGCCACCGGGCCTTCGGTGGAGCTCCCAATGGGGCTACGAAACGTATGAGGGGTGCACAGAAATGGGGGTGGAACTGAATGCGGGCGCTGCCACTGGGGCCTTCGGTGGAGCTCCCTATGGGGCCACGAAGCGCTGTACTTGGTGCGGATGGCAGAGGCAGGGATGGGAGGAGGGAGGAGATCAGCGGGAGTGCGTGTGGTGACGCGGGGCGCTGTCTCTTCAAAACGACGGCCCAACACCACAGGATTGTAGGGACAAACATACACAAAAGTCGATACATCGTTCCCTAACTAGTTTTTGCTACATGCCCGACTTGAAGCTAGGGCAGAGGAACATCCTTCAAGAGCATGAGGCACTCCGTCGGCCAAAGCAAACAGAGCATCCGAGGGTACCCCCCCAGGACGCACAAGAGTACCGATAGAAGCACAAAGAGCACTGGAGTACCCTCCCCAAACCGATCTCGGCCTGATGTCTCGGTCCAGCAATAAGTAAGATTCGGGCTCGGATGTCCCAGTCTGACACTTGGCGCGAGCTCCAGCTGCAGACATCCCACGAACATTGAACAGCCAAACTTCAGGACGCGCTCATCAACAAGCGTCGGCAAACCCGTGTTGGGGCGTACTCGAGTCTTCCGTTTCCCCGACTTTTTTATCGGGATCCACCGAGAGTGGGGTGACCCTGAGAGGGGGCATGTGTTCGGTCCGCTGGTGCACCGAACTGCCGCAAACAATTGCCCCCCGCATGCCCCACCTTTCTGTTCGGCAACTGTGGGGAGCTGCCGGCGGCTGGGGGGCATCTGCTCTGGGCGGTTCAATGCAAAAACCGGTCGAACTCTCTCGCCCACACACGCACACAAGCACCACACACACACACCCACGCCCACGCCCACGCCCACGCACACCACGCTCACGAACACGCACCAAGAAACACACACACACACACGCACACACACACACACGCACACACGCACACACGCACACACGCACACGCACACACACACCACACACACACACGCACACACACACACACGCACACACGCACACACGCACACACGCACACACGCACACACACACACACACGCGCACACCAACACACACACACACACACACACACACACACGCGCACACCAACACGCACACACACACACACACACACACACACACACGCACACGCACACCAACACACACACACACACACACACACTGGGCCCGCCCCCATATTGTGGGATCCCGATTTTACAAGATTGGGGATCTGCTAATCAACCCGGGTCAATCAGACCCGGGTCAGCAGGGAACCAAGAACTGCAATGCAGGACAAACAACAACTGCAGCACAGGGTTTCGCAAACCCGGGTCAGCCCCATGTGCGCAGCCGCCTCGCGGCCACGAGCGGCCCGCTGACCCGGGTCAGCCAGAGGGGATCTTCGCAGGATCCTGCAGGACCTGGTGCTATGGCCAACTTCGGCCCCGAAATCTTGCATCGCGGAGAGCGCTTCGCGCCGAGGCCACGCCCCGTCATAGCAGAGTGGTGGGCCGCGCAGAACAGCCAACACCGTCCAAGTCTTGAGCCAGCTACTGCACCTCCTTCCTGGCACGCCTCTTATGGGCTCCGAGAGGAGGGCGCCCAGGCCGCCCCGGGGAGGGGCGGGGGCCCTCCGGGGAGCCCGCCACGCCCCTGCAGCCGCGGCGGGCGCGCGCTGGCGCTCGCGCCACGCCGCGCTCCCGGGGGGGGGGGGGAGGGGGGCGGGCGGGCGGCGGGCGGCGGGGGCGCCGCGCCCGGCCGCCGCCGCTCCCCCCGGGGGTGGGCGGGCGGGGGGGCCTCCCTCGGGGCCTCCTCTGCGGGGCGGTGGAGGAAGTGTCTGGGGAGCCCCCGAGAGGATAGATTTGCGAGGCGGGGGTTTATCCAGATCCACCGCCTGGGAGCCGACGTCCTGGTGCCCCAGCGGGCTGCGGATACGGATACGCTTCGGCTCCCGGGGGCCCTACTATGTCCATATCCACCGCCTGCCGAGGCTCCGAAAACTGACCCTCCAGACGGTGGTCATGTGTAAATTCCCGCCTCGGAATAAAGTGTGCGGATTCCGCGGCCCCTTCCCTCAGTCTCGCCCCGCTTGGCCGCCTGGGAGGCCCTCGTCGCCACGGCTGGACTCGCCTCGAAGTCCGAATCAGAGCGCACACCAGGAGACGTCTGGGGAGCAGCGGTATCGGTACCTATTGTCGGCGGAGAGCGAGGAGGGGGAGTGAGAAGACGAAGGCCTTCTCAGAAGGTTCGGAAGTCTCCTAGCATTCTGCGAAGCGTTCTGGGCCTTCCCCGAAGAAAAACAGAGACGTCTCAGAAGGCGCGAGGGCTACTGAGAAGTCCCGCCACCTTCTGAGAAGGCCGTCTCCTTCTCATTTCCCCCCTTCGCTCGCCGGTGACGTTGGTGTCCCCAGGCTCGACGTAGAGGCCGGAGGCGGGGCTCTTCGAGACAGTCGCTGGCTCTCTCGCAGGCTTTCTGATGGGTCTGTTTTCCACCACCACCACCACCATAAGTTGGAGCGGGGCTGGAGGAGGAGGAGGAGGACGAAGCGGAGGAGGAGGAGGAGGAGGAGGACGAAGCGGAGGAGGAGGAGGAGGAGGAGGACGAAGAGGAGGAGGGGGAGGATGAGGAGGAGGAGGAGGAGGATGAGGAGCAGCAGGAGGAGGAGGAGGAGGAGGAGGACCCCCTCCCCCTCCAACCTGTGGTGCTGGCGGTGGAAGACACGCCCATCATTTTCGGGCCCCGCGGTGCTCTCCATGGGCTGCGCCTCGTCGGGGGGCGACGCCCGGGGGGCGACGCCCAGGGGCATCCCGCGACGGCCCCTCGGAGGCCTGGAGCATGGCCCGGGCACTGGCGAAGGGGCGGCGTCAAAGCCGGCAGGTCGGGCAACGTCAGCTTTCTGCGTCCAGCCCTGGCACAACACATGCACCTGGATGGCACCAGAAATAGATTGATATTAAATGTATATAGGTGTTTCTACTAGTGTTTTACCAGATGTATTAGAGGCCTTCTAGATGGGGTTGCAGAAGACGGGGTCAGAGGATCGCGCCGCGTCGGCGATGCATCGGCGATGCATCGGCACAATACATGTGTGTGTTTCTAATACTGGGCGCCTAGAAATCACCAACACCAACACGGGGGGTTCACCTCCACGTGGGGAAGAGGATCCTCGATGTCGGTGTTGGTGGCAATAGTTCGGTGGTTCTGGAAGCCAGAACATTATCACCATCACCGAGATCGGGATCGTCTTCCCTCGGTGGAGGCACATCGCCGATCTTGGTGTTGGTGTCAACCTCTAGGCCTGCGATACGAGTGTTTTACTATTCGTTTTGATGTAGATGTGTCCTCTGCTAGTTTCTGATGTAGTGTGGCACTGTAGAGCAATGGCACAACAGACCAGACGACGGCCCGAGGTGAAACGGCGGCCCAAGGAACGTGGTCCAGACCGCTTGAGAGCCACGTGGCAAAACGTCGGATGTGGGGGGATCTGGGGGATAGCAATAGAAGTCAATATTGAAGCAGGCATGCGCGTCCCTCAGGCCGACTCGAGTTGAATCGGAATGGGGAAGCAACAGAAATCACATAAACTAGCATGGGCTGGGCATGGGCCAGGCATGGGCCGGGCCGGATTCCTAGACAATTCTGTTCGACACGCTTGGCCCACTGTCAGTGTGGTCGCACCAACTCCTCTATGCAGCATTTTGAAGCAAATCCAAACCACTCAGAAACGAAGATTGCAGCCGAA